AGCACAAGGAGAATAAACATTCACAATATAGATAAAGGTGTTCTTCCAAGATACATACATACCCAAATAACATGTACCTTTGAAGCTAAATATAGGTTTTACACAACCTTTCCTCCATATTTATGTTTGATTTAGCTTTAAATAATTAGATTTTTTTTTGTGTTTTCAAAAATAAATTTTATAAGGTTTAATACCTCTTTTAGTCCCTTAACTTTAGTCATTGTTTCAGTTTGGTCCCTTAAAAAAATCGTTACATTATGGTCCACTAACTTATACTCTGTTACATATTTTAGTCCTTTTTGTTAGTTTTTGTAAGAAAAACATTAAAATCTATATTACTGGACTATAAATGGCTGAGGTGGAATTTATGTATTTATTTTAATGGATGAGGTGAAATTTATATTACACTTAACATTCATTTGAAGAAGATGAAACTAATTAAGACATAAGAACGTTGTTGGATGAAAGCTCAATCCTCCATTGAATTCAAAATCACCTACCATGTGGTCAATCTCATCTTATGCGACATGTTCATCAACCTTTCTCATGTCTTCTACTTCCTCCTGTTGATTCCCTTGTTCCTTTCTCAAAACCACCATCATTACCCTCCCAACCCCAATCCCCATAACCACTATCTCCAACATATCCGCATCAGCCACACCCAAACATGTTTGAACCTGAACACCTCGTCCTCCATTCTCCAACCCCAACAAACAACAACATCATTCTTTATTGGATGAATGAAAAAGCTCAATATTCACCTTCACTCTCCGCTTACAACGTTGTTTTACGTAATATACTTCGTGCTAAACAATGGCACTTTGCACACGGACTATTCGATGAAATGCGTCAAAAGGGTCTTTCCCCTTATTAGTACACTTATTCCGCACTCATTACATGTTTTAGTAAACAAGGTTTGTTTGATTCCTCTTTCTGTTTGTTGCAATAGATGGAAAATTATAGAGTTTATAGTGACCTTGTTTTGTATAGTAATTTGATTGAGTTTGCGCGCAACCTCTGTGATTATTCCAAAGCATTTTGATTTTCAATTCATTGAAAGCTTATGCTAATATTGTTCCTGATCTTATAGCTTATAATACCATGATTAATGTATATGGTAAGGCTAAGCTCCTTCGGGAAGCTCGTCTTCTTCTTCAAGAGATGAGGGAAACTGGTGTTCGTCCAAATACTTCTAGTTACTTGACGCTTCTTGTGATTTATGTTGACAAGGTTGGGAAATGCCATCACTTATTCAACCATAATATCTATATGGGAAAGGGCTAGGAAATTGGACAGGGCAGCCATGGTGTTTCACAAGTTAAGGACTTCCGGAGTTAAAATTGACGAGGTTCTATATCAGACAATGATTGTTGCGTATCAAAAAGCTGGATTAGTTGCTCATGGAAAAGGCTACTTAATGAGCTCAAGTAACAGGATAATGTTTCCAGAGAGACAGCTATGTGGATTTTCCGACAAGCTTTTGACGCGGGAGAGGTGAAAGATATATATGTATTTGGGTGCATCGTTGATATTTTCTCAAGGGACAGAAATTATGCACATGTGCAAAATGCTCTCGTGCAAAATGTTATTGCTCTCGTGCATCTGTTTGAGAAGATGAAAGAGGTTGGACATTTTCCTGATTCTAATATTATTGCTCTCGTACAAAATGCTTTTGGAAAGCTTCGCCAATTTGAGAGAGCAGATGCTTTATACAAACAGATGCATGAAGCAGGGTGTGTTTTCCCCGACGAAGTTCATTTTCAGATGCTTGGTTTATATGGTTCGAGAATGGATTTCAAGATGGCATCAAGAAGCAACAACACAACCACTAACAACAGTAGTTTCAAGTCAGGTATAAGAAGAAATAAGTCAGGTACCACCACAAGTTGTTACAAGTCAACCACCACCCTATTATTACAAGTCAGTCACCACCACAAGTTGTTACAAGTCAGCAACCATCACAAGTTGTTACAAGTCAGCCACCACCACAAGTTATTACAAGTCAACCGCCACCTATTGTTACAATGATCCATCTATTTTGTAGTTGTACCACATTTTGAATGTCATATTAATGCCTTATAATGGCCTTTTGTTATTGAACCAGTTATGTATCAAACTTCAAATTTGTTAATGAAAGTTTGAATGACTTATAATGCCAAATTATATTACTGTTTGTTTCCATAAATATTGGTCATTGGAATGCATTTTTTATAGGTTGAGTATTGAGACAAATTTGTACCAATTAGGTTGAAATACACACAAAAATTATTCATTGAACCAACCTAACAATACATTATTCATTAAACAAACTTAACAAAACATTGAAAATGTGAAAACATAACTTTGAATTATCCTAAAACTAATTGAAATAAATTGTTACAAACACAAGGACATTTTCAGCCACAATGGACATTTTCAGCCACCATAAAACTAACATAAATATTGTAACAACCCTAAGCTTACAATCTCAACCACAATGGACATTTTCAGCCACCCTCTAGTGTAGATAACTTCATTCTTCAATTTATTAATTTTATTCTTTTGTCTTTCAAGCTTCAAATCTCTTTCATCAACAAACTCATCACCTAACTATTTGAGGAAATTAGAACAATTTTCAATGTGATTTTTGTAATTTCTATAACCCCATAATTTTCTCTCCTTGTTGACACTTGTTATTTGAAGTTGAAGTATTGCTTGCAATCTTTGACATTGAATTCTAAAAAGGAGAAGAAATTGGAAGATGGAAGAAGGAAAATGGAAGAAGAAGATTTAACCCTAATTTGAAGAAGAAAATAGAAGAAGATGAGATATGGGAGAAGACTGAAGCTGCAAATGGAAGATGATGAAACCCTATGAAACGTAATATAACCATGTGATGTGGAATTAAAAATTTGCTTACTTGGCATGTCATCTCACACAATGCTAACGTTTTTTGACACAAACTAACGGAAGGGACCAAATGGTTTAACATAACTTAAATTAAATTATCATTATGTAAGGTTTTTTATTTCGGAGACCAAAGCGAAACTTCGTTCAAACTTAAGGAACCCAAAGACTAATTATGTCATTTTATAATAAAGTTTTAATTTTTTTTTTATAAATTGAAACACTAATTTTTATATCTTATAATATAAACATAAACATTTATTATTGAAGATCAATATATACTTGAAATCACAATATTTTTTTTAAAAGTTTTATCTCAAGAATGAAAAGCTATTTTAAATAGCTTCAAAATTAAGAGATTTTTTTTAAATTTTGATTTTCAAAAATTGATTCAATAAAATGATAAAAAACTTAAAATAACATTTTGAGAATAAGTATTAAAACTAAGTTTTCATTTGAAATTTATATGAAAAACATTTTTGTAAAATTTTTTAAACAAAAATATGTAACATTATAAAAAAAACAAAAAAAAAAAACTAAAACAAATAGACCCTATATCTTAAAATATGTGTGATACTTTAAAAAAGTTTTAAAAAAATATACTACATTAGTATATAAAGTTATAATATTTTTTTAAAATTATCTAACACATTTTAAGAGATATATTTTAAGATATATATGCAACTCTTTAAAATCTTTTCCTCTAAAAATCAACTTCCAGACAAACTCTTAAAGTTTTGTCTTTCTTTAATCTTCAATAATATGTTCATTTACGTGCTTTACTTTTGCTAATACAAACATTTATGGTTAATATATTTTCGAATATAGAATTTATTATTTAGTATATATAAATAAAATAAATTAAAATGAATTAATAAATTCTTTTGATATTTTTACTATAAATATTAATATATTTTAAATATATTTTAATATAAAAACTATTTTAAAAACTATTTTTAATACCTTTTAAAGATAAGGTTTTATCATTTCATATCAATTTTTAATACATAATTTATATTTTTAGAAGAAACTCATTGTTATATATTTTTTATATCATAATTTTATTTAATATTTTTAAATAACATAAAATTTTATATTTATCAATGAAAATAATATATTTTGAGTCATGATTCAGATGTTACTTTTTAAAATATCATGAAGTTTTATTTATTTCATAATATTAATGTTACTTTTCGTGAAACTTAATATCATGAAGTTTTCGTGAAATTTAAATTCAATGTTACTTTTTAAAATAATTTTTTTTTTATTTCATAATATTAATGTCATTTTTACAAAGTGTTCCGTGTGAGATTCAATGTCTCAATTGATTTTATCATATAAAAAGAATTCCATTTTAATACAATTTTCTATATTTAATATGTTTTATATATATAAAAATAAAAGTTATAGAAAACATATTTATTATTATTTAACATAATATATATATGATTTACTTTATATAAAATAAACACTTATTGTTTATTATATTTAAATAATAAAATTGGTATTACTTAATAAATAAATTGAATAAAATTTTTCACTTTATATCTTTAAAAAATTTTAAAAATATATTTGAATCTTTTTTATTTCAAATATTTTTAAATAAAAATAGCAAAAATAGAAAAAAAAATATATATTTTTAAGTTTTATTATATTTAGATGTTCTATGTATTTATAAAGATGACGAGTGTTGATTTTAAAATATATAAAAAAAATGATAAATATAATTCAGTCAACTTTTAGAAAAATGAATTGGAAATTATGATATAATTTGGATAATACTTTCAAAGTAACTTTATAATATTTATTAAAAGAAACTTTCTGTATAAAGTATTATGTGATTATGAAAACGCGTGACATGATTTTTTTCATTAATAAAAATAAGAATATAATTTACTATTGGTATCTAGAAGTTGTACAAAACCATATATAAATACAATGTTAAAGAAGAAAAAAAAAACAAGAGCTAGGCAAAAGAAAAATAGAGTAAGTGTTTTTATTTATTTATATATTCTCATTCCACTCCCATCACCTTCAACATCACAATTCCATTGATGAATATTTAGATATGTGTTAATTGTTGATGCAGGTAAATTTGCATGCAAGAGTGAGAAATGACAAAGATAAGACAATTTTACAATAAGAGTCAGAATATTGCAAAATGTTTGTCTTGTGATCTTTGCAACCAACTTCTCATTGACGCCACCAAAATCATCGACTGCTTTCATACTTGTGAGAATTTCCTTTCAATTAAAACAACTTTCAATTTCTTTGTAATTTCTATGTATGCTTATGCAATTGACTAGAAAATTTTGATTTTAAAATTTATGATTTTTTGTATTCAAATTTTGGTTAGTTTGCAAAGAGTGCTTAGATTCTAAAATGGAACAAGAAGAATTGGAATGTTGTCCTGTATGCGGCATTGATTTAGGCACTGATCCTTCTACCAAAATGAGGCAAGTTCCTCACAATTTTTTTTGAAATTTTCTTAAGCAAAGTTGAATTGAATCTATTGATATTGGATTATTTACAGGGCGGATATTAGCTTGCAGAACATGAGGAATAGGCTATTTCCTGTTGGGAAAGAAAAGGAAGCATTTGAAAATCTTCCAAAAGTTCTGATGAAAGCCAATGGGCATCCTATACCTAAGGTGCAACAGACTGGTACTTCAAGCTCTAGACCTAAAAGAAAATTTAAGAAATCAAAAGTGACAAATTCTGAAGAACAAATCAATAAGAAAGGATGATGTTGAAGATAATATTTGATTAATTATTTAATTAATCAAATTTAAATAAAAAAGATATTGATTATTATGAGCTATTATTAGTATAAAGTATATTTTATCATTATTAAATAATAAATAATCGATGAATATGCATTGTCTTTGTTTTTAAATGGATCATAATGAGTTTATTCATTCTCTTAAATCTAATGAAAGATTCGCAAATTATTCTATTGTTGTTCCATTAAACTGCATAACTTAAACATCTAAATAATTACGAGAATAGTTAACCTATTTTTATTTCAAATATTATTGGTTGTTAGATTCTGTAGATTATTATGGAACATATGATTTCATTATTTATATATATATATATATATATATATATATATATATATATATATATATATATATATATATATATATATATATATATATATATATATATATATATATATATATATATATATATATATATATATATATATATATATATATATATATATATATATATATATATATATATATATATATATATATATATATATATATCTTAAAAGAAGGTAGATTTGATGCAAATTATTATTATAAACAAATGAGTTTTGGTTGAATTAATTATTCGATTCTAATAAACCTTAAGAATTTCATACTATTAGGCATATTTTGAATTAATTGTTTTATCATAAACCCTAAGAGTTTGTAAAATTCTTTTTCGGATCTAACAAAAATGCATGTATTGATAATTTGGGTTTTCCAATTTATTCTTTTTATTCTAAAATATTGGGTCACTCATGATTTTCATGAGAAACCCCTAAACAAATGTTTATTTGATTTATTTCAAATGAGTGGATGATTCACAAATTAATTTTAAATTTTTGTTTTGTTTTTAGTAATAAATAATATACATAAAAAATCAGTTAAAATGACAATAAAAATAGAATATCCAAATGATCACGTCGATCCAATTTCAATCAACCGGTTGAAAGAGATGGATGTTGATTACGATCATTCTAAGGCTGAGAAGAAGAGTGTTGTACTAAAAAGTAAAAAGGCTGAGAAGAAGAGTGTTGTACTAAAAAGTAAGAAAGTTCTAAAAAAGGATGTTATCAAAGAAGATGTCAAAAACATTTTAGATGAAATTTTAGTACCTTCTTCTACAAGAAGTAAGAGATTAGTAGGAGGGAAGATTATTCTATAAAATGTTCCTATTGTAACATTAGACAATGTCTCCTTCCATTATAAGGAGAGTGTTCTAAAGTGGAAGTATGTCTTCCACAGACATATAATTCTTGAGAGAGAGAGAGAGAGAGAGAGAGAGAGAGAGAGAGAGAGAGAGAGAGAGAGAGAGAGAGAGAGAGAGAGAGAGAGAGAGAGAGAGAGAGAGAGAGTTATCTAAAGAAATAAAAAGGTGTTGCAAAATCATGGATCTAATGAATGACACACATGTTCTAAAGATTGCGGTCTATGTTGTTCCCTTTTACCCAAGGTTTCATTGATGCAAGAAGTAATGAGTACATAAAAAGTCTATGTTCGTGGAAATTGCTTTGGCTTTTCTCTTGCCATCAACAATGGATACCTAGGAAGAGGAAAAAAGTTACTATTGATCATGTTCTTTCAATGAAGATCACTGCTCAAGTGATAATTGAAAATATCAATGACGATTGACCATCCAAAGGTTTGTTATTGCCTCTAAGTTAAGCATCAAATATACCATCTTCTTCAAGATCGATGTATCCAACTGTGCACCCTCCAATCACAGTTTGGGTATTACCTCTAGCCTTGCTAGTATGCTATATGAAATAGGAATTAGAGTTGTATTTGACATTGGAGACTATGGGGTGAGTCTCAGTTAAGACGTGTTTTAGTGTGAAATGGGTGCTTCCGTAAATTCACTTCCAAATTGTGAAAGATATTTTCAAATTTTTCATATGGTGCTTCTCCTTACAAGTGTGTTAAAATAGTGCAATCGAAAGTGTTTTATCGTACCCGCAGGGATTGTACGAGAATATTTGATTCTTGTCGTTCAATATTTTAGTGACTTAAGTAAAGGGGTTTTCAAATGGTTTATATTTGGTAACATAAGTTTGCAAGAAGTAAAATAAGGTAAAAGTTGGTTCTTGTTTGATAAAAATCATGGCAATATTAGGTTTCACTAATCCGTCTTAAACGTATCCAATCAATCAAATATGTGAACTTAGTTTCAACCAATATAATCGCGTACCCTCGCAAAATCGTTTATCTCTAAAGCGATTTCGTGAATATTATTATTTCGACCGTTAAATGATCTCTCTAAATAACACCCGAAATAATAATTGTTAAGATCAATATAATGCAAAAATCAACTTCCAAATATATGTCTAGAGTTTGTTAGTTGATAGATGAAGAAATTAGGTCAAGACTTGAAAAGTTTATGTCTAAAGCAATCTAAGCCATAAATACAACAAAATATAGCAAATAACTTCATCTATATTGATCAAATCTTTGTTCACATACAAAAGATTAAAAGAAATACATAAAATCAAAAGGTTATGAGGTGGTGGAAGAAGTGGGGTCTGTTAAGAGTGTTATTAAGGATTACACCTTGCTTCAATATTTTAGAGGATTGATACTGAGAGACCATATATTTATTTTGAAGGATTCCCTAAGTTAACCAAAGATGAGAATTTGAGATTGGAAGAACTATTTACCACTAAAGAAATCCAAGAGGATGTGTTTGATTATGATGGGAACAAAAGCCCAGGTCTTGATGGATTTAACTTGGAGTTCTTTAAGCGATGTTTAGTGGTTGTTGGAGACAATGTGGTCAACTTTATAAAAGAGTTTCAGTGCTCTGCAACTCTTCTTAAAGCCATGCTTTCTTCTTTCATTGTATTGATTCTTAAGTCAGAGAATCCTTAAGGCTTGGATGAATATAGGCATATCTACCTCATAGGTTGCGTGTATAAAGTGGTTTTGAAAATCTTGGCAGATCTCTTAAGGAATATTATAGGAAGGTTGTTTTCAAAAACACAAACAACATTTATTCCAGGGAGACAATTACTTGATGGGGTGGTCGTAACAAATGAATTGTTAGATTATGCGTAGAGGAAGAAAAGAAGTTGTTTACTATTTAAGGTTGATTTTGCACAAGCATATGATTGTGTTGATTGGGACTATATTGAGAAGGTTTTGGTGGCTATGGGTTTTGAGGAAAAATGGATGCACTGGATGAGGGGTGAGGTGTTTTCTAGTTATATGTCAGTCTTGGTGAATGGAAGCACAACTAGAGATTTTAAGGTGTCTAGGGGTTTGAGACAAAGGATCCCTTGTCTCCTTTTTTGTTTTCAATTGTTGTTGAAGGGCTTTCTTGAGTGGCAAGTAGGGTAAGCATGTTGGGCATATTATATGGATTTGATTTAAATGTTCATGTATCATATAACTTATTGTAATTTGTTGATGATACAATCCCTGTGTGTGATGCTTCGTGGTTAAATCTTTGGGGATTGAAAGTTATACTAAGAGGCTTCAAAATGGTGCCAGGATTGAAAATCAATGCTTGGAAGAGTTGCTTATATGGGGGTAGGGGTGGATGAATCTTTCATGATGGCAGTTACTCAGTTTTTGGAATGTAAGAAGGAGGCTCTACCATTTAGGTTTCTAGGGCTAACACTAGGGGAAAACCATAGAAGGATATCATTTTAGAGACATGCTATCACTTAGTTCAATACACGTTTGTCAACATGGAATGGTAGAATGTTATCTATAGGGGGAAGGGTCACACTTATTAACTCTATTTTGATGAACCTACATACATTATTTATCATTCTTTAAAGCACCAACTAATGTCCTAAAGGAAATTATTTCAATTCAGAGTAGGCTTTTATGGACGGGTTCATTGGACAGGAAAACCATGGCTTGGGAAACTTAGAAATTTGTGTGTAGACTTAAGGAGTTTGGTGGAATTGTGATTAAATATATCGGATTGTTTAAATGGGCTCTTTTAACAAAATGGTTGTGGAGATTTATAAATGATAGAGATATGATTTGGTATGGGATTCGAGAATGTAAATATGGAAACATTACTAGAAGATTTCTGAACAAGGATGTGCCTAGGGTATTGAGTCAAAAGTCACTTTGATAGAATACGAGGATTCATAAACTGCTATAAAATTATTCTTGAAAAAGTTCACCCGAAGCCCTAAAGCTCACTCAAAGCCTCTAAGAATTTTCTTAATACTCCACAAATATTCTAGAATAGAATTAACTATTAGGAAGTATTATCAACATACTCAAAATGAGATATCACCAACATATATGTCCCCACTCTAAAACCAAATTGAATACCAAGATATTTGTTCATCGAGAATGTATCATTGACATATTTTATAGTTCATTTTCTCTTTTCTATTTTATATGTATTAAGATATGTACAAATATAGATGATATAGTTATTTAAGAATCATATTTTGTCGTGTGTATATATGATTGTGATTGTGATACACATATTGCATGACTTATATGGAATAATATTAAGAATAATAATAACAACTACAAACTTTCACTTTTAAATATCTTAGAATTTGAAGTCGATTACATTTTCCAAAACTACTTAAGTATTGGTTAAAAAAATTATATATTTAACCAAGATCATATCATTTAGAATTTTTTTTATAGTAACCAAGTATTGGTTACTTTTTATAAAAAAAATAAAACATTCAAAAGATTAACGAAAATGGGCACAAATTCAACAGCCTGTCGTCGAATGAAATGGCGACAGTGTTGTAACTTGCATGCATTCGCCATTCGCATTGACGACAGTGAAAAAAGAGAAACAATACCGCCATCTGGAATGACGACTTATTTGTAGAGTCTAAGTTAATGTTTCTATATATTTATTATTTCAATTTTATGATGTACAAATCAATGATTCTCCATTCTAAGTGTTAATATGTAACATGTTAATAGGTTATGTGCATTGTGTATACCTATGTGAAATTAACTTGTTACTTATAATGCACGTTTCTTAAGATATCCTTATGATTAAA